ATATATTAGAAAAAAAAGCCCGGGCATGGAGTGGCGCATGCCGTAGTTCCCAGCTACCTCAGGAGGCTGAGGGGCAGCGAGGATCGCTCCCGAGACCCAGGAGTTTCGAGTTGCTGTGAGCCGTAGGGTGACGCCACGCACTCACTCTACCTGGGCAACCAAAGTAGACTCTGTCTCAGACAAAAAAAAAAAAAAAAAGAAATGAAAACAGAGTCAAATGGTCTGAAAGTCTGGGTCTGCCTGCCCTCCCCCCTCCCGCCCCCCAGGCCCTCATCCCAGGATACCCTCCCCCAGGCTGCGCCGCATCCCCCAGCCGAGGCCCTCATTCCCCACTGGCGCCCCTCAGTCTCGCCGGTCTCCAGGCCATCCATCCCCCGACCAGGCCTCATCGCCCCCATCCCCAGGCCGTCCCATCCCCCCACCAGCCCCATCCCCCATCCCCCAAGGCCGTCCCATCCCCCCACCGGCACCCCTGTCATCCCCCCCATCCCCCAGGCCGTTCCATCCGCCCACGGCCCTCATCCCCCCATCCCCTGGCGGTCCCATCACCCAGCCCTCATCCGCGCCCCCGCCATCCCCCAGGGCCATGCCCCATCCCCCACCGGCCCTCATCCCGCCCCCATTCCCCCCAGGCCGCCTTATACCCCCACGAGCCCTGATCCCATCCCCCAGGCATCCCATCCCCCACCGGCCCTCTTCCCCCCATCCCGCCCCACCGCCCGTCATCCCCCATCCCCAGGCCGTCCTATCCCCCACCGGCCCCTCATCTCCGCGCCCATCCCCAAGGCGTGTCAGTACCCCACCCGGTCCCAGCCCCCACCGGGCCTCATCCCCCATCCCCCCAGGGAGCGGCCCATGCCCCCGCAGCCCTCATTCCTCCCAATCCCCCAGCCGCCCCACCCCTGCCGGCCCTCATCCCCCCCATCCCCCAGGCGCCCCATTCCCAGCCCGCGACCCAACCTGCGGAGGAGGGGCCACGCCGGCTGGCCGCGCTCTCGGGGACAGGAGCGTGTCCAGCCCGCCCCGCCCGCCGGCCCAGCCCCCTCCCGCCATCCGGCCCCTCCCTCCTGCCCTCTCCCCGCCCGGCCCGGCCTCGCCTTGATCCCCCCGCCCGGCCCCGCCCGCCGAGCCCGGCCGCCGCCCGGCCGGGCCCCGCCGGAAGCTCGAAGCCGCCCGGGAGCGGAGGCGCGCTCGGACCGCTGTCCGGCTGAGCGCGCGCGGGCCCCGGCAGGAAGTCCCCCGCGCTCTGGCAGGCGGCGCGGCCGGTCCCCAGGTGGGCGGCCGCGTAGGTTTCAGGCGTAGAGACAGGGTCTCGCTCAGGCTGGTTTTGAACTCCTGACCTTGAGCAATCCGCCCGCCTCGGCCTCCCAGAGTGCTAGGATGACAGGCGTGAGCCACCGCGCCCGGCCCTGTTTTCATTTCTTTGTGCAGAAAAGGATCAAGTCTTACCTGCTCCCCGTTGGGGCTGAGGCCCCGAACAAACCGGGACCCCTCGCGTTCCTGGAACCGTCGGGGCCTTCCCAAGCTCGCCAGGTGGGGAAAGCGGGAAAACGAAAACCTGCCCCAACCAAACCCGTGGCAGGGCCAGGACTTGGCCTCGGGGGTCGCGCCTGCCCTGCCCTGCGGCCCTGCGCCAGCCGCTGCCCTGTGCGGGGCGCAGCTCTGGCTTTGAGGTTTCTTTGTGGTCCGCGTCCCACTGCAGCGCCCTAAGACGCCAGTATCTTGGCAGGAAAACCACATCTCGACTGGACCGCTTTTCCTGTCTGGGAGGCCGCGGGAAATTTGCCCAAACCTGGCATTTTGACTTTTGCTTTGGTCGTGTGGTCGTGTGGCCGTGTGGCCGGGTAAACCGGGTGACCTAAGCCCTCCACAGGCCAGCAGGGAAAGTCCTGGACTGCAAGTGCCTCCCCTGCATGTGGTCGGGACATTGCCGGCTTCCACCCTCAGGCCTTGGGAACGAACTTGGGAGCCCTGGGTTTGCAGGAATGTTCCACATGAGCACTGAATAGGGCGCCTGCCAGCAATCACAGAACGTGACCACCCAGCCCCCATGCAGACACGGGTCTGCGACTTCACCCGTCTCCACACCCGAAGGCTGTCGCTAATCAGCTTCTCCACGGGGTTCCTCAATGTTCCTAGTTTGCCAATTCAGAGACAAACTCTCCGAGCTTTCCGCTCAGCTCGGCAGCACTTTGCTTGGGAGAGACACAGCGTCCCTTCCTTGGGCTGTGCTCTGGTCTCCCGACTCAAGACGGTGACCCCACGCCAGCCCGTGGCCCCACTCCCCACGTCCCACTGCCCAGAGCTGATGACCGACCGGGCAGCCCCGCCCCCCAGCTCCCTTCACGCCCTGGACTGGCCTGCTCCACCCTCCCGTCTGCCCCAGCCTCACCTCCTGCCTCCTGGAGTCACCCTTTCTGGAGCCCCCAGTCCTGCTCCCCCTTCCCATCCGTCAGTATCTTGCACCCCAAACCTCCTCGGCTTCCGGGCCCCCCTGCCCCCAGCCCTCTGCTAGTTTCTCTCCTGAGCTCTTGCCCTGGAGGGCGGCTTTTCCTTTTTTTTTTTTTTTTTTATTTTGCATATTATGGTTCACGAAAATTTTAAGGTTTCAAATAAATGGCCCATTTCCCCCTCCTCCCCCAAAAGTCTGAGTCTCCCATCATGACCATCCCCCAGTGGTGGCACATCTCACTCCATTATGTATGTATATACCCACCCCCCTCCCCCTCCTTTTTTTTTTTTTTTTTTTTGAGACAGGGTCTACCTTTGTTGCCAGGTAGAGTGAGTGCCATGGCTAGCCTAGCTCCACGCAACACTCAATCTTGTCGACGGAAAAAAAAAGCTAAGTCTGCAAAATAATTTTAAAGAGATTTATTCTGAGCCAAATTTGAGGACCATGACCGGAGCCACTGCTAAGAGGAGCCTTGGGCAAGTGGACCGCGCTGTGGCTGGGTTACAGTTTGGGTTTATACATTTTAGAGAGGTATGTAAAGGCTATAATTAATGTGTGGAGGTATAGCATGGCTTGCCCAAAAAGGAGACATTTGAAGGCGGGGGTACAGGATAGGTGGGAAGTTTCTTTAGGATTGTAATTGGCTAAAGAATGAGTTTGTTAAAAAGTGGTGGTAATGTTTTAATACATATTTACTGTTTCCAGATGTGTATTATCCATTCTTCTTGTCTAATAGAAGGCCTGCAGGTTTGTCTTGTATACCCTCAGGCCTGTTAATGGGTTTCAAAGGAAGTCTCCAAGAAGGGAGGGGGGCATGATAAGGCTGTCTGACCTCTCTCCTTCTTGGCAGGCAACTTTGCCCTTGAATATTCTTCTGGGCTCACCGAGGGGTCCATTTGCTCAGCCGGTAGGGTTGAGGATTTTATTAGTTCACAATCTCGCTGGGCTCAAGCGGATCCTCCTGCCTTCAGCCCCCGAAGTAGTGGACTACGAGGCATGGCACCACCATGCCCGTGGAGATTTTTTTTTATATCCTTTAGATTGGCCATTAATTTCTTTCTATTTTTAGTAGAGACGGGGGTCCGCCCTGTCACGTTTCAAACTCCTGACCTTGAGCAGTAGTCCTGCCTCGGCCTCCCAGAGTGCTAGGGTTACAGGTGTGAGCCACCGCCCGGGCCTGAAGTCCAGAACCTTACAAACTTTCTTTAAAATGTTTACTTAGGCCAGATGGCCCGGCCGAGGTGCCCGCAGGGGAGTGGGGCAGAGGAGGGAGCCAGCTGATCCAGCGCCAGATGCAGGGGCCGGGGGCTCACCAGAGGCGATCTCGTGAGCCCCCCCCCCCCCAGGGAAGGTCACCTTCTGGTCTCCCTGCTGGGGATTCTCTCCCAGAAGGCCTTTGAAGCAGAAAAACAGGTTTAGGGAGATGACGGGGCGGGCGATTCACAGGAGGGGCTGACCCCAGCCCAGCCCCTGGCTCGCTTTGCTCTTTGTGCTTCCAGCACAGACTTCTAGATGCTTCTGCTCAGCTCTGGGCGAGGCAGGAGCTTACGATTTTGGCTGGGGCGGGGGGAATTTTAAGAGCGTCTCCAATGAGCAAGTGTTATTTTTATGATAAGATAAAATGAATATTTTAAGAAAAATATTGCAGTGTGGTATTATTGCATCATGACGGTAATAAAGTTCTGTGCAGGTGCCATGGGGCTGGGGGAGGGGAGACCCCCCCAGGAAGTGGCTCTGGGAGGCCGACTCCACCGGCCCCACCCGGGCAGAGGGCCCCGGGGGCAAGGGGGGAGGAGCCATGGAGCCTCCCGGGCCACCCTGGGCCTGCACTCTGCACTCGGCTCCTCCTTGCGATGCACTTTCCCTCCTCTTCTTGGGCGGAACCCCACGTGCTGGGGGTGCAGGGCCTGTTGTGCAGGCTGCAGACTGGAAGCTCCAGCCGCGGACGTTGGCTCCGTCTCAGCTCTGGTGCCTGGACCCAGGACTGGGGTGCTGGCAGGGCTGGTCCCTTCCCCAGTGTAGACCCAGCCCACCCCCGTCCTGTCCTCATGCGGCCGTATGACATGTCCTCATGTCCCTGAGGACTCCGAGCTGTTGCGGCAGGGCCACCTGCCGCAGGACCTCGCCCACCTGCGTGGCCTCTCTGCACACGGCCACCTCCTGAGTCCTGGGGCTCAGGACCCCACCCTGCCAGCTTCGGGGCGGGACACCCGGTGCACACGGTGACAGTGGCAGCTGGCCCGTGGCCAGGCACTGCGGCTGCAGGAGCCCGGGACGCTTGTCGGCCAGCGGGTGAGGGAGGAGGCTCACAAGGCTCCACATGGCCCTTCCTCCTCCTGAGTGAGGCTCAACCACTCAGGTCACAGCCAACCTCGGGTCCGTCCCCGCTGGGCCCCTCACGCTGTGTTCACTGTGTCACTCGGCTGGGCTCACTCCGGCAAAGCCCCACAGGGCCACCATTGGGCAGCAAGGGACAGTTCCCGGCGGGGTCTGGGCGGCTGCAGCCTGTTCCCAGAGGCCGGCAGTGACCCCCGGTGGCCCCAGGCAGGAGGCGCTGGGCAAGGTGGGTGGTGGCCCGAGTCCCACCTGGCCAGGCGCCCCCCACGCGGGCAGGCGCAGCAGGGGGCAGGCCTTGGCCGCTGCAGCTGGACCCGCCTGGCCCGGATGGTCGGCCATGCCCAGGTGAGGGCGGCCCTCACTGAGACCTAGGAGCTCACAGCCGTGACCAGGGGTCAGGCGGCCGGTGGATGGGGCACCGGGCTTTGGTCCAGCTCCCACCCGAGTTCCTTAAAAATACGGGTATTTGGGCGGGGCGCAGTGGCTCAGGCCTGTAATCCTAGCACTCTGGGAGGCCGAGGCAGGTGGATTGCTCAAGGTCAGGAGTTAGAAACCAGCCTGAGCAAGAGTAAGACTCGTCTC